GACCTAAGCACAGTGGGGCAACGCCGCCTGTCCTGTGCCATTTTCACGAGCGTTGGCATGTTTGAGTCACGTGTTGTCACTATTGTGTCACCCCATCTCCTGGAGGGTTCCCCCCCATTCTCGCTGACCCCCTATCAAACAGGACGTCCTTTTCTAGTGATTGGTCTTTCCTGATGACGTGTCCCAAGTAACCAAGACACACTCTCGCCTCTCAACATCCCCACTCCTAGGGAGCATTCCGGTTCTATGCATCGCTTACTCAGCACATGTTTATTGCAAACCCACGACGGGCCAGGCAAGGGGCCAGGCCCCGCACCATGGTGACAAAGAGGTACCAGCCTGACTCACGCACACCTGTCCTGATGCCAAGTGCCAGGAGAAAAAGCAGGGGACACACCTGTGCCCTCTCTGACTTGCCTTCCTCTGCCACCCTGGCGTGACTCCCACACACACCTGCCTCCCGTGACAATGCCCCTTCTGGTCTCTGTCCAGCTCCATGTCTGGGCTGTAAACCCAGCCCACACGGCCCTCCCTTCTGCCCTGTGCCAAGAGCTCGTCGCCTCCCAGCCCCTCCGCCTCCATGCTGCCCCACTGCTTGGGGGGAACGGCCAGTACCTTGTACACGAAGCTGCATACGAAGTCAATGAAGCCGACCTGCAGCTTGGGGAGCTCAGCGGCTTTGTTCCTGTCCATCATTGGCTTGTCGGGAGGAAGCAGAGACATGGTGAGTATGAATGACAACACGCCTGTCGTGTTCCAGCAGGAGCTTCCGTGCCCAGCCCGGTCCGGGGTCTGCCTCCCACTGCCCTGGAGCCCCACAGGACCTCACGCAGCTCCCCAGCTCAGAGACTCCAGTGAGACATGCATAAGACAGAGTAAGTGTGTCCCCACCTTCCACTTCTAGCCTAAAGGCTGCAGAAGGAGCCCTGGCCTGGGAGGACCAGCCCTGCGTCAAGAGACCCTGAGTCCCTTGGTGGTGCAAACGGCTGATACCCTTGGCTGGTAAATGGAAGGTCAGTTGTTCTAATCCATCCAGACCCACCTTGGAAGAGAGACCGGGCAACCTCCTTCTGAAAAATCGTGCACTGAAATCCTACAGAGCGCGGTTCTACTCAGACACGGGGCACCGGGAGTTGGCACTGACTTGGAGGTCACTGGTGGCGACCTCAATGCCCTGCTGTGCCCTGCCATCCTGCCCTAGGTCCTGGGGCTTCAGAACCACAGCCTGTTGAGCTGTTCCCAGTGCTGACTTCCTCCCCATGTTCCCAGAGCTCCCGTGGCGTTGCGCTGGGGACTGGCTCAAGCTGGATTAAGACGTGGGAGCTCTGGGACAGTGGGGAGGGACCCTGGCTGTATGAACTGCTGTTCCCAAGCCCCACAGAACCTCCCTCAGCACTCTGTCCATGGTGCTGACCCAACCCAACCACCTTGGCCCTAGCCACTCTCTGATGCGGACCCCGGGTGCACTTGTTGGAGCTGCCCTTAGTCTCCGCATACTGCACCCTTCTTCAAAGTCACCCCCAGTCCCCTGGCTCAGGGACAATAGACTGTGCTTCTCAGGAGATGAAGGCATCCTCTCCGGCTGAGTTTACACCTGGTCTGCAGGCCTTCTCAGCCCCGAGTTCCAGACAGCAGTTCATCACTGACCGCAGCTGGTGTGTAATATCCCATCCCTTCCACGTGCCAACAGAGCGGTCCCATGCTGTCCATGTCCCCTGGGTTCCTATCCATGTGCCATCTGTGGTATGAACAGCATATTCCTGTCCCCAGGTGGCTGACCTAAAGACGGTGGCATTGTCCATCTCCCCATGACCAGCTCCCTGCTTTCTCTGGAGTCTGGCCCTTGGGCTCCCTACCCCTCATGGGTCAAACCTTCCCCTGGGTCTTCCTGGAGCATGGTTCGTGGCTCAGCTAGGGTTGATCTGTAGACCTGCCTTCTTGCCATGCACACAGATAGGCTCTGGTTTACTGAGCCCATAGCTGGGTCTATAGTTTCAACAACTGCTTTTTTACCTCGGTATGGTCACCACGCTTTTATTCAAACTCTGTATTTTCCATACCTTTACCCAGATCCAGAGCCACCTAACATCACTCCTGGTTCCTGTCACCATGAGCCCCACAAAGGGAGATGAAGGAACAGGGCCACGGAATCCCAGCAGTCCACTATTTGCCACCTCTCCAGAACCTGGAGACTCCCGAAACCCTAGCTGATGTCCGATCTTTTCAGAGATTCTGGAGGGAGTACTCACAATGGGCTGCTGATCCAGCACCGTCCTTTCCAAGTCACCTTGCTCCCAGAACTCAGCTGCCACCAGAAGAGCTACCTGAAGGGCACAGAAGTACAGTCATTGTGGGGCTCAGTGCTGCACTGGAACAGGTTGGGACACCCTCCCTGTGAGCTCCAAGTTCTGACCTCTTGGCTCTCTCTGCCACAGACCCTCTGGGGCCCCTCACTATTCAGGGCTGGGCCACCCTTGGGCCTGAAACACAAAGAACACTGTGGCTCCTTCTGCCGTTGTCCCCTGGATTGGCCCAGAGAAGGAAGCAGCCCTCAGTGTTACTTGCAAATGCTGTTTTCAGTTGAAAACGTGTAAAATGGGTTACTGTGGAGTCCACTCTGACTCCCGGCGACTGCACGTGTGCAGTAGAACTGCATTTCAGAGGCTTTCAATGGTGAAGTCTCAGAAGTAAGTCTCCAGGGCTTTCTTCCAAGGTACCTTGGGGTGGACTCAGACCACCAACCTTTGCACTACCCAGGGACACCTCCTCCATGTGAGGCTCCCCGTAAATGCCATCTGAGCCCCGGGCACTGGCAGGCGGTGTTCACCCTGGTCTGGCATGGGCCTGCCTGAGTTCTAACCTTGCTCTGGACCTCCCAGGGCTTGGCGATGGCAGACAGGTCACATGCAGTCATCATCATGGCCCTGTGGGGCAGAGGGAGCTCCAGTTACACCCAGGGCTTCCTCCTCTCCCCTCCAAGAGAGCGGGGCAGGTCCAAACCCAAGTGTCCTTTCAGTAATGGGGTCTCACTGTCCACACCACACCTTCTGCCTCTAGTAGCCGCCAGCTCTGCCCCCATCCAGCTCCTTCTCCCCACCTCCACCCCTAGACTTCCATCTTCATTTCCTTCCATTCTTACAGCCCCCAAAGGCCCTTCCGCCCCTCAGCACCTCTGTGCATTCATAAACTAAAGACAACAGGTATTGCTGGCGACTTCTAGGTGCTAGGCACTGGAATAGGTGATGTAATCGTTTTTGCTCCGAGGAAGTCCTGCGGGGAGGACGTTCGGAATTTACATGAGGACACGGAGGCTCAGGAAGGTGCAGTGAATTGTGCCAAAGGCCACAAAGCAGGGAAAAGGCCTGCAAGGGCTGCTGAGCCCGAGCTCCGGGCTGCCTCTCCTCAAAATAAAGAGCAAGGAAGGAGAGAGAATTGTGTGTGTGTGTGTGTGTTTTAAACACATTGCTTTAATTTTTGAACTTGACAATGTATCTTTGAGATATTCCTGGGTCAGTCCAGAAAGAGCTTTGATGTTGTACAGAGTCATCATCCTCCATTGTGTGGTGGTTGGTATTGTGGCAACTTGGCTAGGTTCCCAAGTGGTTCTGCCAAACACTAGTCTAATTGTGTAATGCAATGAAATGTAATGTACTGACCCTCCATACTGCAATGTAATCACCTTCCGTAATGTAATGTAATGTAATGCAGTGTAATCACCTTCCATAAACCAAACTCATGGCCATTGAGTCGACTCGACTCATAGTGACCCCTCCTTGGGTTTCTGAGGTGCTATCTCTATGGAAGTAGATTGCCCAGTCTTCTTTCTGAGGAGTGTCTGGTGGGTTTGAACCACCAGCCTTCTGGTTAGCAGTCAAATGCCTTAGCCACTATGCCACCAGAGCTCCCTGGGACTTTGCATAGTGTTAGAAAACAAAAACCAAACTCACTGCCATCAAGTCACTTCTGACTCATAGTGACCTCTATTGGGTTTCCAAGGCTGTAAATCTTTATGGAAGCAGACTGCCTCATCTTTCTTCTGTGGAGCAGCTGGTAGGTTTGAACCACTGACCTCTTGGTTCACAACCAAATGCCTTAACCACTAGGCCACCAGAGCTCCTTTGTATAGAGACTCACTGCTGTCAAATAGGGTCTGACTCATAGCAACTCCTCCTTGGGTTTCCAAGGCAGTATCACCATGGAAGTAGATTGCCCAGTCTTCCTTCTGAGGAGTGGCTGGTGGGTTTGAATTGCCAGCTTTCTGGGTAGCACCACACCACCAGAGCTTCTACCTCCCATAATGTAATAGAATGTAATCACCTTCTGCAATGCAGTGCAATGCAATGTAATCACCTTCTACACCGTAATGAGCCTCCATAATGTAATGTGATGTGATGTGATGTGATGTAATCGCCTTCCATAATGCAAAGTAAAGGAGCTCTGGTGTGGTCTGCTTCCAGACTGTAAACAGATGCTGTGGAAGAAACCACTCTTTCCACTCTGCATTCTTTCCATCACCTTGACCTGTGGATCTTGGGACCCAAGCCCACAGGTCTTTGGCCTGCCACCTGGCCTATGGATTTTGGGACTTGTCAGCCCCCACAACTGCATAAGCTAACTCCTTGAAGTAAGTCTCTAACTACTTCAGTGGTTCTGTTTCTCCAGGGACCCTGAGTAAGACACACCGTATGTATCATCGCTTATTTAGCGGCCCTCCCACTGATGGACATACAGGTTATTTCCTCTATTTCGCTTCCACAAACGTGCTACGTGAACAACCTCATGTGCCTGTCACATCCCACATGTACAAGTGGGTTTCTAGGCTAAGTTCTTGGGAATGGAATCATTGGATAAGGAGGGAGCATTTGCTTCTGGGCCTCAGTAAACAAAATCTTTAAGAGATGAGCTACTCTTGTTCCAAAGCATTCCAGGGACCCTAGGGAGCTCTCCCTAACTTGTCCACAGGGAAGATTTGGAAGAGTGATAAGCTGATGAATGGACAGAGAACACTATCAGACGTCAACCTTGGGTGTCCTGCAGGGGAGCCCTACACCCCTCCCTCTTCCCCTGGCCCCTGCCCCTGCCATGGTCTCCAGCCCCCTGGACCCACTGCCTCCCCTCATCTTAGCCCTGTCCTCAGTGGTCCCGCCCCCCAGGCACAGCATTGCTCACATGATGATCTCCTTCCGAGTGGTTTCCAGCGACAAGTACTCCACCCATTTCTTCCGGTCCTCGTAGTTCTTGGACTCATCTACAATCTTTTGGAACATGGTCCTTTTCCTAAAGCCCCAGAACAAGGGCAGAGGTGTGGGCCGGGAGGGTGTGCAGAGAGATGGGGCAGGGCTCAGGTGTGCACAGGGCTCCCCACTCCAACATCACTGCCCCGTCCAAGTAGCGGGCCCCGCTCCCCGCCCCACCCCACTTGGGACCCTGTGCCCTCCACACACTGTCCCTGAGCCTAACTCCAATCGCCCCTTTGTGGGAGAGTCGGGACCTGTCTGAGAGGCTTGGGCTTGGGGCACAGTAGGGTGACCATCAGGAGGTTTGCATCTGAACTTGGCCAGCCCTCGCCCTGGCTGGACTGCAACTTCTTCTTGCCATGGGCTGGGGTGGAGGACCCAGGCGAGGTGCAGACCCGCCTGCTGGAGGGGTTCCCTCTCTGGCCTCCCTGGGGGCCCAGCAGGTGGCGGCACCCACTTGAAGTAGAGGGCCAGGTCGGTGGCGATGATGGCGATGTCCATGAGGTGAATCACGTGCTGGTGCTGCCGCTGGTTCAGGTTCTGGTAGATGTTCAGGGTCTGCAGGGGCCGGGGCGCCTGTCACCAGGCCTGGCACACACACAGGGCTGCCAGTCCACCGTGTCCCCAGGCATCCCCCACGTTCATGGTTAGTCTTCCCACAGCACTCAAGCCACCCGGTTCCAGCTGCCCTCCTCCCTCTGTGGGTCTTTGCACCTGCACCTCCTCTTGCCATCAGCCCCAGCCCACGTGGCTTCCCAGACTACAGCCAAGGGAGGCAGGCAGGGAGAGCGCTGAGCTCGGTGGATGTCCTGGGGGCTCCAAGCCCATGCACTCTGGTCCTCCTGCCCCTCACCACCCTGGTCTGGCCAGACCCCTCCTCTCCTGCTCCCACCTCCACTTCAGCCCAAGCCTCAGGCCTCCTGCCTTCTTGGCCTCCAGCCCCACTGGCCTTGGTGATTGCTCCAGCCACAAACCTAACCACACAGCCCTTTACAAAGTCACCACTGTCTGCCATTACCTCCAGGGTGGCCCAAAGCTGGTCTCAGCCACCAGTGTAGCCGCCACCACCGGGGGGCCACACAGACCTCAGCCCGGGGCCTTTCCCTGTGTGTCCAGAGCACCTGCTCCCCAGGGTCAGCGACCGATGCAGCATCCCCGGAGCCCAGAGAGGGTGTGGTATGCCGGCCACGTCAATGAGGCAAGAAACATTCGCGAGCAAACTCCGGGAACGAAGACACATACCTCTTCAGAGAGCAAGAACTTCCCAAACTCCAGATGGTGCCGCTCCAGGATCGAGGAGCCGTGCAGCTTGGCTAAGGGGTTCTGGGACCTGTGGAGACGAGTGCATTTTAAAAAAAGAAGGTTCGAAGCCTCAGCAACAGTGTGATGGACTGAACTGTGTCCCCTAAGACGTGGCAGGCCTCGCCTCTGTGCTGGTGACTGTGACCTTGTTTAGAAACAGGGTCTCTCTTTGAAGGGACAACGGTGAAAACTGTGAGAGCCGGAACTCGACTGCACAGCCTTGTTTTTCCAGGTCTCGCGAGTTTTCTGTCTTTCATTTCTGCCTATGGCTTTCCTATTGTTCTTGGACACGCTTCCACCTTCTGAAGGGTCTGGCTTTATTTACGTATTTAATTTTTATTGTGATTTGGGGGATACACAGACACTTTGTCTCATGACATTGACTGCAATTTCCCACAATGCCACAGCTCCCCTCCCACTTCCTCCCGATAGTTACCTCTTTCCTGTGTCCATCCCTCCATGTACTCCTGCCTCCTGAGCTGTCTCCCTGTGCATACACAGCCCTTCTTTCTCTCATGCGTGTTCTCTCCAAGGAGTGTATCTACCTCAGGTAAATGTTCAGCTCATATGCCTGTTTTTTGCTTGACTGGAAATCACAGGTGTGGATTCAATTCCAGCCCTGAAGGGCACCTAGGGGCCATAGTCTCAGGGGTTTCACTAGGCTCTGTCCGACAAGTAAGCCTGGTCTTTTTTTTTTTTTTTTCTTTATGAGTTTGAGTTTCATTCCACATTGTTCTCCCACTCTATCCAGGATCTCCTGCACTGATCCTGAAGGGTCCGGCTTTTGTGGGTTTTATTGCATCAGTTAATTCATACTGGGCCCTAGTTCTGATCCCTTCTGAGTGGTGTCTTATAAAGGAGAGAACAGACACAGAGTGGGACACACGGAGGGAGACAGCCACCCTCCGAAGATGCCTGGAGCCACCAGAAGCTGACAGATACCAGGAGGACACCCCCACCCCCGCCCCACAGCCTTTGCAGAGACGTGGCCCTGCATTTGGATTTCCAGCCTCCTGAACTGAGGCAGCACCTTGCTGCTCCTCCACCCCCCTGCCTGCGGTATGTGTTACTGCAGCCTGGACACTAGGACAAGCAGCCTGCGTTGTGGTGAGGGCTGAGGCGTGGTCTTGGTGCCTGCCCCTATGCTGGGGACCCAAGGGCCTCTTGACCTCACTCTGGATCCTGTCCCAGATCAGCAGGGCGGGGCATCCTAGGTGTGCTGTAGACCCTGACCCCACATGGGGTGCTCAGATCCCACCAAGGTGCTGTGAGGCCCCCCTCCTTGGTGGGGTGTGCACAGCCCCTGCTGCCTACACCCCGGCCACCTACTTCATCTGGTACAGGTTGTTGGTGCCGCGGTGGTCAATGTCATGGCACAGGCCTGCTGTCACCATGGCGAAGGCCTCTAGGTCTGTGTAGTAGTCTTTCAGTTTGCCGGTCTGTGGGAACAGGGCCACCCATGCCCCTGAGTCCTGCAGCCCTGGCCCCCTGCCCTGTCACCTGCCTGGCTGCTCTTCCCTCCCTGTGAGGCCCACGTCCCATCCACCTACATCCTGGGGATGGGGATGCACCATTGTAGGGGTGCTGGCCTCCTCTGCTATCCCTGCCGATGGGACCTCCCCCTCCTCCCCATGTGGAAGAACACCCCCATATCTAGGTACCTGTGGGGCCTTTGGAGCCAGGAGGATTGGATCAACCCTGGTCAGCCAGGAGTCTGATGGGGAGGGGCTTCTCAGCACACGGCCTGGGAGTGTTTACGGATCCCTGACTGTGCCCAGCCCTGTCTGCACCCTGGGCTCACAGGGACCATGTCCCACCCCGCCTGCAGGCACCCCTGAGCTCAATGGGACCGTGCCCAGCCCCATCTTGGAGGCACCCCTGAGCTCAGTGGGACCATGCCCAGCCCCATCTTGGAGGCACCCCTGAGCTCAGTGGGACCATTTCCTGCCCCGCCTGCAGGCATCCTTGGGCTCACAGGGACCATGCCCAGCCCGCCACATCCACGCACCATAAGCAGTGTGAACATCGTCTGGGCCACGTTGAAACCGTGACGCCAGTTGTGGTAGGTGATTCTTCGGTACCCTTTGCTGACGGAGAAAAGGAACCGCACCAGAACCTGAGGGAGAGGCAGAGACACACATGGGCTCTGGGACCTGAGGGGGAGGCAGGGACACACATGGGCTCTGGGCTGTGAAGCTGATGCTGCCTGGATCTCAGAATGTGAGTCCCACCAAGATGTTACCTTGACGATGGCCCCATGGTGGAAACTGTCTCCATCCCATCACCCGTCGGCCCACACACCCCATCATGTCCCACTTCCTAGGCTCCCAGGACCCTCCCTCTTCCCCACTGATTCACTAGTAGCTGCCTCACCATCCTTAGCAGGTGAACCTGCCGAGTCCCAGCCCCATTCCCAAGTGGGGAGCGAGGTGGAGCACAGACAATGGGTGGAGGGCTGTGGTGGGGAAGCCTGAGGTGGCCAGGGCAGAAGCTAAGGCCTGCTCCATTGTTCATTAGGCTTCTAGAGCCTCCATCCTGTTGCCCAGCTTAAAACTGGAAGGGGCCCCTGGAAAGCTGGGTATTTTAAGGAGAAAAGGTCAGTGTTAGATGTTGGTGTTTGAATGGGATGGATGTGTGGGAAGTCTGGCAGCCAGTGCTGGAGAGACAACATGGCGGCTAAAGGTCCAGAGGCTGAGGGTGGGCAGGAGGGGAGAGCTCTGGGGTTGTGTGAGCCCCTTCTCTCCCAGATCACTGCGATTTTCAGGGTCAGAAACCTCCCTGGAACTATTTAAAAATTGTTACTATTTTCTTTAATTTTTATTTTGTGTATTCCCTTAGTATTTAATAAATGTTTCTCTTGAAAACGCCAGCCTGCTGCACTTGCTCTATGAGAAAAGCAGGTTGCCTCACCTGGGCCATGAGGAAGCAGATGCCACATGCCCTGTGGAGTGGAGGTGGGAGCAGGAGAGGAGCGAGAAGACCACAGGCAGGGGTACAGAGTTGGGGACCCTAGGAAAGCCATCCTTCCTCTCTGTGGTGATCTCTGAGGAGTTCTGCTGAGTTCAAACCCTAGAGGGTGCTGTGTGCTTTCTGTTCATATGATGGACAGGTTCTAGCTCCTCTGCACTCTATCACAAACCTCTTGTGACTACCCAGTGATGATTAAATTGCCTATGATTTATATTTACCAACCCATCCATCTGTTCACCCACTCGCCCATCCCTTCACCTACCTTCCATCCATCCAACCATCCACTCACACATTCACTCATCCATCCATCTACCCAACCATGCATTTATCCATCAACCCATCCATCCATCCATCCATTTGTCCACTCATTAATCCCTCCACCCATCCAACCATCCACTCACCCATTCACTCATCCATCCATCTACCCAACCATGCATGCGTCTGTCCATCAACCCACCCACCTACCTTCCATCCATCCATACACCCACTCACTCACCTATCCATCCACCACCAATATTCACTCATCCATCCATCCATATTATTCTTTTACTCACCCATCCATTCATGCACCTATATCCACTTATCCACCCATCTGTGTACTCATCCATCCATTCATCCATTCATCCATCCACCCACCTATCCAGTCACCCATCCCCCATCCATCCACTCACCCATCCACGTCCTTCCCATCCACTCACTCACCCTCCTATCATTTATTCTAGACATATTTGCTGAGTGTATTCTACCTGCCTGCCCCGTTTTAGGAGGAGCTCTAGTAGCATAATGCCTGAGGCATTTGACTGTTAACCAGAAGGCTGGTGGTTCAGACCTACCAGCCACTCCTCAAAAGGAATATTGGACAATCTACTTCCATAGAGATATTGCCTCAGAAACCCAAGGAGGGGTGGCTATGGGTCAAGATCAACTGGAAGGCAGTGTTTTTTTTTTGTCCCGTTTTGCATACAATGATGAACAAGGCAGCCTCACTTCCTGCCCCCGGGGAATCTGCGGTAGAGGGAGTGGGCTTTAGAGAAGCTACTATTCAGAACTAACTGAACAGCACCTAACAACAACACTCCTTGTGTGAGGGGCATGGTCAGCACTTTTAATTATATTGGCACCTGTGGTAATTAAGTCTGTGTGTCAACTTGGCTGGGCCTGGTTGAGTGGCTGGGCAGCTGGATGTAGTATTTCCCATGATGAGACTAGTAATCAACTCCATGGTGGAATCTACTGTGAGCAGCTGAGTAGCTGCCCTAGGGTCTGCTTCCCGTATATAAGGAGAAGCCTTGGGAATGGTCTCTTGCTTGTGGCACGCTTGGACCCTGCATGTAGCTGAGTCGTTGTTCAGTAGCCTGCCATGCTCTGCTGATCTTGGGACTTTCAGTGCACTTGAATCAATGGTCTGCCATGTGGTTGGTAACACTGGGACTGTGCCATTTTATTTGTTGCCCTTGGGCTTGTCAGCCTCAGCAGCCAGCAGCTGCCTGAGTGATGAAAAGCCTCCAGCTTCAGTGGGCCGGGAGCAGGAGGTAGAGCTGAAGCCCGAGGTTGAGGGGCTTTCACTCAGGCCCTAGAGCCTGGCACTTGGAACTTGAACTTCCAGCCTCCAAAATTCCTAAGAATAGACTCCTATTTGTTAATGCCATCCCACCTGTGGTATATTCTTGTCAGAGCCGCACTAGGAAACCAGAATAGCACTTCCCAGGGATCTTTCAGTGTGTTTACTTCTGAACATTCCCCCAGGTTTCTAGCCAATGTCTCTGAGGAAATTTATGCTTTAACTTCACAATTCTGTAAATGATTCACTTTTAGAGGAACTCCTGACTACTCCTGCCCCTTTGAAAGGGCTGAACAGTGAACTTAAAAAGCCGTGTCAGTGTTCATTTTGGAGAACTGCCTGGTAGAGCAGCCCCACGGGCCTGTATCAGCTTGAGCCAGCTCTCTGGACGTGTTTGGGGACGGGAGTGCAGGAGGATATCATGCTCGGTAAAGTAGAGGGCCAGCGAAAAAGGGGAAGACCCTCAACAAGACAGATTGACACAGAGGTTGCAGCGACTGTGAGGATGGTGCAGGACAGGCAGTGTTTTGTTCTGTTGCACATGGGGTTGCCATTAGGTGAAGCCGAGTTGACGGCGCCTAACAACGTAGCAACTTAAGAGCCCCTGGGTGGTGCAGTTAATGTGCTTGGCTGCTAACCGAAAGGTTGGCGGTCCGAGTCCACCCAGAGGTGACTCAGAAGAAAGGCCTGGCAATCCACTTCTGAAAAACCAGCCCTGAAATCCCTATGGTGGCCTTTCACTCTGACAGCCATGGGGTCACTGTGAGCCAGAGTTGACTCAAAGGCAACTGGCTTTTATTCCCTGCTCATCAGCTCATTTCAAGTGCACGTCTCCACCCTGGACTCTGCTCTGTGCTCTGGCCTCAGGTGCACACCCAGTTACTCTTTTCTCCAGGACATCTCCAATACCATGTCCAGAGGAAGACTTCCAGCTGCAGCCCCAAACTGTCCCTCTAGCTGGACATGGCCCCACATCTGGGAGGCACCCCTGAGCTCCTCTTTTTCCTCACCCACCCTCTCCTACCCCTCAGCAAGTCTGTCTCATTCATCAAGACTCAGACTTGGCTTCCAAGGATGTGAACATTCTCAGAAAGGAGGAGAATACTTAGCAGACAGGAAAAGGGAATCTAAAAGACACAACTTTTAGGGAGACTGTTATGCAAATGGATGCCCAGGTGGCTGGCCTCTTCCCTCATCTCTCTGTCTCTCCCCCTGGTCCATCCCTGTCTTGGGGAACCCTTTGCTGCCCCTTCCCAGCAGCCAGCCTCACCTCCTGGGGGATCTGGAACTTGCGGACCACACCCAGCTCGTAGTACATCTGGATGCCACACTTGACCAGCTCCAGCTCCGTGCACTCCAGGTCTGAGAAGTGGAACTCGTAGATTTCGAACTTGCTGGGCCCCGGGAGCACTGTTTTCTGTGGCAGGTGGCGAGGTTGAGGGGAGCAGAGCACGCTGCAGCCCTTCCTTGATCCTGACATCTCCTCCCAGAACCCGCTGTCCAGCCTCAAGCTTCCCTGACTCCTCAAGCTTCTGTGGGCACTCCTGCACTTCTAGGCACTTGGCCTGCAGCTTGGGACTGTCACAGCCCCCACCTCCTTGGCCCACTTTCCTCCCCTCTTTTTCCACCCAGTGCTCCAATGCCAGGGGAGTCACTCATCTGGGCAGACACAATGACATTGTCAGGGACACATAAAAGCACACATCAAGGACATGCACATAAAAGGTATACAGGCACACGAAGATACACAGGGACATACCTGGATACATAGGCACACACATGAAAACACAGTGCACACACATGATTATATAGACACAGAAGAACTAATACACAGACACATGTGCAGGCACATAATGGACACACAGGCAAACATAGATGTGCAGACACACACATGGACACACAGGCAAACATGGATGTGCAGGCACACACATGGACACACACACAGTTATGAATGCACACACAGGGACACTGTAAGGGCAGCTGCAAATAAAACATAAGGAAGCTGTGCCCTCCTCCCTTCTCTTTCAGCATCGACTTTAGGAAACTAGTCATTGTCAGTTCTTTCTCTGCTCTGAAAATATACAAACCAAGGATACTTTTTCCAGGACCTGGGAGCCTGTCTTATGAAATGTAGCCATCAAGGTAGATCACACACCTATCACCCAGTTTCCTAAAAGGATACTGACATGATCTCAAGTGGGTCCTGCCATAAAGATTCTAAAAAATTACAATTTTATCTTGAGAATGTGAATGTCATAGGTTGTATCCACTTAGCTATATAAAAGAGTAAGAATTCTTTCTGTCTTTGCAATCTCTTTAGTGGATTGCCTGGGCAGTATCACATTCTGTTTTAATGTGTATTCAAAAGTAAAACTGTTTTTATTGGGAGGCTTTCTGGGTTGAGAGTAAATTTTGTTTTTAATTATATTTTCCAAACAACAAAACAAAATCCACAGATACACAGGCACATAGATGGGTACATAGGCATACATGGAAACACAAAACACCTAGACAGACAGGTTTACACATAACTACACAGGCACACACATGGATACAGTGCACACACAGAAACACTATCATACACATGGACACATGCACATACATGGAGACAAGGCACACACCTGGATACAGCGTGCACACAGACATACAAGCACACACATAAATGCACAGGCATATGCATCAACACACAGGTACACACATAGATACAGAGATACACATGGAAACACACACACATGGAGACACAGACACTCACATGGTTACACAAGCACACATGGCTATAGTGCACACACATGGTTACACAGGCACACGTGACACACAGGCACACCGATGGGTACTCAAGCACACAGGTGGATCCGTGTGTGCACACCTAGATACACTGATGCACACCTGGATACACAGACGTAGGTGTGGACACATTGTTACTGTGGTGGTTAAGTTTGTGTGTCATCTTGGCCGGCCTGGTTGAGTGGCTGGCTGAGTGGATGTAGTTGTTCTCCGTGGTGAGATTGGTATTTAACTCCATGGTGGAATCTGCTGGAGCAGCTGAGTAGCTGCTTTGGGGATGTGGGCTGCTTCCCGTACACAAGAAACAGCTTTGGGAATGGTCCCTAGCTTACGGCACCTTGAACCCTGCATGTAGCCATGTCGTTGTTCAGCAGTCTGCCACGCTCTGCTGATCTTGGGACTTTCAATGGACTTGAATTAATGGCCTGCCATGTGGTTTGGTAACATTGGGACTGTGCCTTTTTACTTGTCAACCTTGGGCTTGTCAGTCTCAGCAGCCAGCAGCTGTCTGAGTAAAGAAAAGCCTCCAGCTTCAGTGGGCCGGGAGCAGGAGGCAGAGCTGAAGCCCAAAGTTGAGGGGCTTTCACCCAGCCCCTAGAGCCTGGCACTTTGAACTCAGACTTAAAGCCTCCAAACTGTGAGAGAATAAACTCCTGTTTGTTCAAGCATCCCATTTGTGGTATATTCTTGTCAGAGTGGCACTAGGGAACCAGAAGTTACACACATAGATTCACTGGTACATCCCACGCAGACTCACACTCCACAGAGACACACACACACAGACATTGGTCCTCCAGATACAAATTAACTTCCAGAACCTGCTCGGCACATTTAGATGCTTAGTCTAAGCCCTACTAAGACCTACAGCCATCAGATGGTCCTGGTCGAGTGAGACAGACAGGCACGATGGTGAAGACATTACACATAGTAAACCCACGGTGTTCTCTGTGAGACACACACAGATGTGTGCACAGGCACACACATGCACGCACACACACACACACAAAGTGCCATAGGCACCTGGTAACTTCATTAGCTAGGCAAACATAGATGGACACTCAGTCCAAGTCATGTGCTCACACCAAAACACTGGATAGTCGGGACAATCAACTGACGAGACAGACAGACACACTGACAGCTCAGTGGTGTAGACATCAAGTTAATTCTTTAGCAGGACAAACACACTCTGTGGCGTATATTCCCAAGGCTCCACAGTGGTTATGTAGACACATGTATACTGAGAAGTACACACATACACACACACACAGGAGACCCTCACAAGATGACTCTACAAACTCAAAGAACACCCTAGTCTCTCCTTGGCAGTGGAGATGTCTCCCATACCCTCACTCTCAGGAGCTCCCAGCCTGCACCCAGAGGATGGAATGGAGACCCCACACCCCCACTCTCAGGAGCTCCCAGTCTGCACCCGGAGGATGGAGTCGGCTTCTCACCAGGATTTTCTCCAGCTCTTCCTCCTCACAGTCTGCTGGCTCCTTCCCAAGGCGCTCCCTTGTTGGCTGACAGAGAACGACAGGTGTGTTATGAAACACCCATTGTGGGCACCATCATGAGCTTGGGGGATGATCGACGCCATCCTACATCCACCATGAACATGAGGCAAACTCTGCCCACCCTGAGCAGCCACTGTGAGTTCAGCCTCTGTGTCCCTGACTCACTGCACCTTCTCTGGCCTGTTATCTTCAGTGGCTCTAAGCATCTGACACACCAGTGACTCTGTGGGCTCCTACACCCACTCTGATGTACACTGGGTCTCTCGCTCCTGATGAATCCATGTCACTCCTCTTCAGGTTGCCCTCTGGGGCCCAGAAAGGAGGTGGGCTCCAGGGTACCTGAGGCTCAACCACATGAGAAGCAGCTGTGGCTTTGCTGGGATTATGGGAGTACTCAACACCCAGTGTCCACAGTCCTTAATATGGGGATTGTTTTGTCCTTGAGTTCTCCATCCCTAGAGGAGATGATCTGTCCAAAGCCCTCCCAGACAGGACAGCGGCTCTGACAGTCCCACCAGGGAGCTGGTTAACATCTGGGCCACGGAGGACAGTAACCACCCTGGGAAGGTATTGCCAGGGTCTCTAATTCCCAAGGTAAGTGGCAAGGTGCGTGGCTGTGGCTAATATCCCTGCACATTCCTGTCTCCCAGGCACTGCCCTGAACTCTTCCCAGGGTGATGCATGGAATCCTCACAGCAGCCTACAGGGCAGGCACTCATTCCACAGAGGAGGAAACTAAGGCCCAGAGAAGAAACCCATGCTAAGGCGTACGATGTGTGGTGCCACTAGGCCTGAAGCCAGCCATCTGACCCCAGGGGTGTGCCCTGCCTCCTGGGGGATGCTGCCTCCCAGCTGGGCAGAGGAGGGACCCATGGAGGGATGGGGGTGGTACCAGGATCGCCTGGATTTCCTCCTTGTCACATCGCACGTGGTACAGGACCATGTCTTGGGCGATGTCCTTGCGGTTCTCCAGCTTGTTCATCTTGTCATAGGTGTCAGTGTTCAGCACCGACCAGCCCAGGAACTGCGTCAAGGACTGAGAGACAGGACAGCAGCATCACTCACCCCAGCACATCTGTACGGAACAACTGCTGTGTGCCAGGCCCTGCATCTCAGCATGTGGGTTCCTGAGGGGCCACTTGGATGCAGCGAGTGCTCTGAACATCTCCACAGGGTGCCCGCCAGAGGCTTCTAGGAATGGGACCTCGAGCTCTCCCTTGTCTGTACTGTCCCCAGGCTTCATATTTGCTTACACACCCCAACAGCCGGTGTCCCCCACCATTATGCAGGTGACAGGACCTGACCTCCATGAGAACTTCATCCTGCTCATCAAATGGCTTCCCGTCTTTCCGGTTGTAAAACGTCGCCACCCCCACGATCTCCTCCTTCTTGTTGACGATGGGCATGGAGAGGACATTCTTGATGGTCCACCCCGAGTCGTCAAGGGGACCCTCCTGCAGGGAGAGGACTTCAGAGATGGCCTCCAGTTCTGGTTCAGATCCTGGCCAGGCCTTCTCACTCAGAGAGTGTGACCCCCATTTATGCTTCTCTCATATGGTGAGTAATTGGTTCACTGTTCCTGGTGGTTCTTCATTCCCTCTTTGCAGGTGAATTTCACCCCCCATGCATTTTGGGATGTGACTTCTCCTGTTAGAGGAGGAACAACAACAACAACAGAAAAACCAAACTCACTGCTGTTGAGTCGATTTTGACTCATAGCGATCCCTCCTTGGGTTTCTGAGGTGGTATCTCTATGGAAGTAGATTGCCCATCTTCCTTCCGAGGGGGACATTTTCCCAGCAAGGACAGCTCCACAGGAATGTGAGCTGTGCAGTCACATGGGTGCACTCTGAGAAGGGCCCACACTTGGTGTATGCTCTGTTGTTGCTGTCCCAAAGCTTGTAGGAATGTTTGAAGAAGGGGTCTCACATTCTCATTTTGTATCGGGCCCCATCCCTCTGATGCTGGATTTGGTCAGTGAGATATGGGAGGGGACCAGTTTCTAGAGGAGGGTCACAGATAGCGTGCATGTTTTCACTGGTCCATTTGATCTTCCGCCTCCCCTAGGAATCAGCCTGCTCTGGTAATGTGGTCATATATTCCCAGATAAAGACATGTGGATCAGACTTGAACTTCTAGTGGGGCCTAGCTTGGCCTAGCCAAATCCAGCCAAGATCAGCTGAGCACCAACCAGCCAAACCACAGTTGAGCCTCAGCCCAAGCTTAATCAAGATCAGTTGAGCTCAGACAAGATTAGCTGAGCCTCAGCCAAGCTCAGTCAAGATCAATCGAGCCCAGACAAGATCAGCAGAGCCCCAGCCAAGGCCAGCCTGAGATCAGCCAAGCCCCAGTGGAGCCCCAGCCAAGCTCAGCAGAACCCCGTAGACCTGTAGACCCATGAGCATGGGCTTCATGCTTGCTGCTACCAGCCACTGAGATTTTGAAATTGTTTCTCACGCAGCAAAGACTAATTCAGTCTATGGTTCAAAGGCCAAACATCTTCCTTCCTAAGTAAAATACAATTCCTATTAATGAATGAGCAGATACCTGAAACTGAAACATTTCATCCGCGGAGGCATTCATTATGTTGCAGATCTGAAAGGGGTCAGAGGAGCAGTCTCACCTGAGGCCGTCACCTGCACGATCCGGTTCTAAAAAGGGCCACCCAACCCCAACTTCACTTGCAAGAAGTGAGCTTCCCACTAGGCAAAGCAGACTAGCCAAGGGCTGGCTGGGGTGCGTGCGCAGGCTGGTGGGCAGGGCTGGTATGTGGAGACAAGCACACACAAGCATCGGGGCACTGGACGAGGGCAAGACCCTGGGGCCACCAGGCACCACTGGACTCACAAAGCCACTCTCTGCCACGTAGGTTGGAAGGCCGCTGGCCAGGGCCCAGTGATCGGCTGGGGGTGTGCTGGGGAGAGAGAAGCAAAAGGTCCCATGGCCCAGACGCTGGGGGTTATTAAACGTGTGCGTGCAGATTTTTGGTACCGTGTGTACGTGTGTGTGTGTGCGCATGTGTGTTTTAACTGCTACTCCCTCCTCTCAGCTCCAAGGGGCAGCAGGGTATAGAAGTTGTGGGATGGGTCCAGGAAGGCTGGTGGTTGTGGCAATCTGGTGAGGACCCTTGAGGAGGGTGAGAAGAGGCAGGAGAAGGGGCTTGGGGGTGGGGCTTGCTGCTTCCTCCCTCTGCCTGACTCTGCCCATGCGGGACCCCCTTGCTGTGTAGGGACCTCTCAGCTCCCCTACTGAGGGCCACACGACTTCATTTCTACCCCCTGGGGTTCAGTATTGGTGCCATCCTGTGGGTCTGGCCCTGCCCTATGCCCAGGCCTGGCACCTGGGTCCCAGTCTCTGCTTGAGGCCTGTGGGAGAGGCCCTGAGAGGTTTATGGGATCATGGGGTCACATGACTATACGGCCGTGGGGTTGGGGATGGCTGACCACCTTTCTCAATGTCCCTAGGGCTGGCCTCCTGGCCTGCCCTCCACCAGCTGCTGTCCTGAGGCTGCCCCATCTTCCCCAGCCCAGCTGGGGGAGCAACACAGGCCTACCTCTTCCAGCAGCTCCATTGCCTGGGCTGGGCTGGCTGAGCCAAGATGGGAACCCAAGGCCTCAGCGGTCAGTAACTGCTGACGGGGCCAGCCCTGCCTCCTGCCTGGCCATCTCTCCTGATCCCTTTGGATGTCCCCTGGATGTCCACGGGTGCCTTAGGCTTGTCACTCCCTTCACCTCCCCACACCCCTCTACACTCTCCCCAAGATAGCAAGTCAATGTCCTTCCCCACCCTGTTCCCCTGAGCCCACAAAGCAGGAAGCACCGTTGTGACCCAGGCCTGTGCCAGGCCCACTGGCTGTGTGGGCTGAGCTGGGCCAGAAGGGGGACTCCCACTCTCCCCTGAGATGCTTCTTGGGAAGGCCGGGCACTTACGGGATGACTTTGATGTCCTCTTTGCCGTGGAGGATATAGTCAATGACTTTGTAGAAAACGATTTCCTGAGAAATGACACCACTCAGTCATTAAGGGGCTCCTCGTCCCAGCTCCCTGGTGGGAACCCTCCCTGAGCAGGTGAAGAGCTCCAGGTACCTCCCCATCCAGACACACACATGCACACACACACACACACGGGCACATACATGCACACATACCCACCCACCACAGTCCGCCTACAACCCGTGCCCACACATATGTATTTATACACACAGACATATCCACCATGTATCTCTGTCTACACACCCCACTCACAGTCCAGACACACACATATGGACATCACACACGCACATACTCATGTACATACACATGCAGACGATCACTAACGCTCCTGGAACATGTGCTGCACAGTGACTTAGATCCGTCTTCTCTCTATGTCACACTCAACACCCGCACACACAGGGGCCCGCACTCCACACACATGGCCCACCCAGGCCACACCCAAGACCTCACACATACTTCCCCCTCAGTCCTGGCCAGGGCAGGTACCCCCGCCCCTCCCATCCTCAGCCCACATCTGCACAGGGGCTGGAAGGCTCTCGTGCATCTGGGCACAGGTCTGCCCCCCAGACACACACACAGTGCGGGCTAACAGTCGTGGCCAACACTAGTGCAGTCCTCCCCACATGCACTTCACACACACGACCCATCAAATGCTTACAGCATCCCTGTGAGGAGGGTGCTGTTATTGCTCTATTGGACAGAGGGGGAGACTGAGGCACGATCAGCCTGGGCAGTGCATCTCAGGTTGGATCCTAGTCAGCAGTCAAGGAATCAGACCCAAAAGACTGCACCTCTACCCACTGGACCACACTGCCTCTCTGGTGTTTGCACACGCACAGTCCCACCCAGAGGAGATGTTATGAAGAGTTAAGGTCCAGGCAATCAGAGCAGGCACTGGCTATTACCACCAGGCTGGTGATCCTCATCAGGGGACTAGGCCCAACTGCCCCACCCCCAGGAGAACAGCAAGAACAGAGTCGGGGAGACATTCTGCCCATCAGGTGAGCATGCAGCCAGCCAGGCCACCTGTCCTGTGTCCACGCCATCCTCCTCCGCCCCACCAGAGGTTGGGCTGGGACAGTCCCTTCTCCCAGCCTAGAGCTGGAGCCAGAGGAACAGAGGCATCTGGCCTGGACCATCCCCTCGGCCCCACCCTGACTCACCCGGCCATCGGGCGTGCGTGGGCCTGAGTACGGCTGGGCTTCCCCCATCAGCACAGGCCACACATCAAAGAATTCCTGGGTTGAGGAGGAGAGGAGGAGTGAGTGGCCAGTGCTGCGCCTGCAGTTGGGCGCAGTGGGCTGGAGCCCAGAGAGGCCCAGGTCTCACCTTCTCCTTGGTCATGTCCAGAAGGCCCACCGAGTACCGGTCACAGTTCAGATAGGCCCGCACGGTGTAGAAGGCCTTGTGAAACTGCCGTTCGATGTCCGTCAGCTCCTCAAACACTTTGTTGGCTGACCACAACAGCACCTGGGGAGGGAGGTGATACACCTGTGGGACCATACACACCCAAACCCACCTGATAGCAGCACCCCCCCCACACACAATGCAGCACACCCACTGGGGTTCAGACACCTGCCTGAGGAGGGTGTCGGCCGCCTGGCATGTCCCTAAGAGCTCCAGAACTGGGGTGCCATCCACAACCTATGACCACAGAGAGCCCCAGAACCCTACTGGACAGTAAGGCCACCAGGCTGATGCCATGTATCTTCCATTCACCGCCTAGTACTGGCCTGGCACTCAGATGAGTGATGAATGAATGAACACTAAATCACTTGCTGTGAGCTTGAGATGCAGAGATCTGAGTGTATGGGTCTCTGATTGACTGCTGTCAATCAACCTGTGAGTGCTGGTGTTGGAAGACACAAATCCATTGTTCCCTGGATGTCAGGCCCTTCTCTGGGCTCAGCAAAGTGAGTCAGAGTGATGGTTCATCACCACGCCCTGTGGGGCACGGGCAGACCCTGCCCCACACGTCACTCCCTGGCTGGGCCTCAGGCCACTGGCCAGGGCTGGTCTCTGCCCCACCTAGTCTGGAGCTCCCTGTTCTCCTCCCCAAACCCAGGCCCCACTGGTCCCCACTCTCTCACACCCATCACCTCTCATGGTTTTGTGCACCCTCTGGCCAGTACAGAGTGCTGGCTGGTGCCGACCCCTTTTCATCCACGTGAGTTCCTGCAGCTCCCTTCCTACCAGCCCCTCTCTCTGGTCCTTGACAGTCCATTGTGTCCCTCGCAATTACTGAAGACTCCACCCCCCAGAGTCTTCTCACCAGAAGGAGGCTGCTCACGTGCCATGCTCCTCTGCAGGGGAGCTGAAGTCCTCCCGCACACATTCACCTGCAGACCCCTTCCTGTGCATCCCGTACCCTGCACTGGGGGTCTCATGGTGGCTATGCTCACTTACACCCCTCACCAAGGCATGAGGACCTTGGCCTCTGGCTTCCTGTCTACCTCCACCTGCCACCATCCTGGGAGATATCAGTGCCCTGGGCATCCATGTTCTCTATATGCCTGGAGCACTCTGCCTCTGAAATCCTGGACTCACATATGACCAGAAGCTCCCATGCCTCCAGCTTTCAGCTCTCCTACTCTGGGACTTCTGGTCAATCTCCACCACTTACCCATAGCCAACACTTCTTGCCTGTCCCTGCCTTCAGTCAACCCCTGGCTTGACTCCCTGAGCAGTAACCATAACAATCTCAGGAACATGAATTTCTGCAGCACCAGCTGGCAAGTGATGGATGAAACCAACCATTACCCAACACCAAGTCCATTTGTTGGGGAGAAACACAAGCCAAGGCCACTGTCAGGAGAAATATAGGTCCAGTGGGGAGAAATACACACTGTCCTGTCCACAGATAGGGGAGACACAGTCACTAAGTACACTATGGGAGCATTCACAATGCTAGGCCCACCTGTGAAGGGAACAGCATCAACCCTGCTGGCATGGGTCATCACACAAGCATAGAATGCATGTCTGTGTGTGTGCGCATGTGTGGGGTGTGAGTGCACAGACATGTGAGAGTGTGTGCATGATTTTGCATGAATCTGAGCATATCTGTGTGACCATGAGTGTAAATGGGTGTATATGCATGTGCACGTGTGTGACTGTGTGCATATGTATACATATGTATGTGTGTGCATGAATGCACATGAGTGCATGAGTATGTACATGTATGTGTGTGCATGAGAGTGAGCGTGCATGGCTGTGCATGTGTGCACACATGTGTGCATATGTCAAGATGTGCATGTATTAGTGTGCATGCATGTATATGTATGTGTACACATATGTGAGTATATGTGTGTGCTGACTGTTACCTTTTGTGTGTTGGTTCTACACATATTCCCTGGGCTTTTCCTAGTACAAACCCAGCTTAGAACCATTGCCCACACCAGACATGGGTCCTGTCCTCCTGGGGGAGGGAGAAGATACTAATCAAATAATTATATGAACAAAATACAAACTTAGGACCATGATGAGCAGTGTGATGAGAGCCTAGGTTTGTCTGAGTCAGGACTCTGGGCAGCATTTCTGAGGAGGGGACAGTCCTGCTGAGGACCTGGGGAGCAGGCAGGATTCCCAGGTGAAGAGGGATGTGTATGGGGGCTGGGCCACAATGAAGGATCTGTCTGCATCTCAGGGTCATGGGAAGCCATGGAGGTGATTCAGGGTGGGTGGGTGGTGGTCACTCTTAGACCTGTGTGGTGTGGGGCCTGGATAGTGCACAGACAATTGAGGCTGGCCAAGAGGTGTGCAATCCTAGGGTGGGGCTGGGGTGATGAAGGCCTGAGCCAGGACAGAAGGCATGCAAATACAAATGCCCTGGTGGAGATATTTGGGAGGACTTGGAAACATGAGGGTAGGGCATTATGGATTGAGTTGTGTTGCTCCAAAATATAT